ACCTCTTGGTGACCAGGTAGATCTCCTCTTCAAGAACACATTCCCAGTGACATTCTGCCACATCCCAGTATTACCAGATAGAGAACCAAGCCTTTAACTCAGCCTTTGGGGGGACACTTACCAAAACATTGCATCCTGCCTGAGATGCACAGGAGGAAAGAGCAAAGACCCTTAGAGGGAGACACTAGGCGTGCCTTTGCCACTTAAGCTCCTTAAGCAACTCACCTAACCTGTCTGAGCCTCAGTTTTATTACCCATAAAGTCAGTTGCTATGAAGATGAAATATTGCCATGTATATAAAGTCCCAAGGGCACTGCTCACCTCAAAGTAGCTTCTTAGTAAGTGCTAGCTTTTACAATTATTAACAGGCAAATCTGGCAGGGGAAAACTGTTTGATGCCTACTGAGATTAGAGACCCGTACACAGTTTTAACAATTTCAAGGGTGCTTGAGTATGGTGTTAAACACACGTTTCGCTGAAAAAGTCACATAAACCATAGAAGTAAATTCAAGTTAGCAAATATTTAATGTGCCTATTTGTGTCCACATTTAGTCTGCATATTTAAAGAGAAGGATGACATAATTCTAGGCCAAACACAGGACTACTGAAAATCTAGGAATCTGGCTATCAGAGCCATAAGGAGCAGAATTGGGCACGGGGAGGGTACATCCAATGCACAAGTCTCCCTCCAAAGCCCTGCAGGAATGCCTAGTGGGTTTCTCTGCACATGGGAGGGAATTTAGTGGGCCTGCCTATGTCACTTACCAGAGGGACCAAGATTCATGTTCTGGTTGTGACATCCTTCTCAAATTAACCTGATTACCTTTACACTGAACATCGCATCTTCCCCATTCATGCTATCACTTTCTGAACACAGTATTTCACTGTACAGGACTGTCTTGCATATTTCTGGACATTTGGCTTTACTGGTCTCTGCTAAGAAAGGCCTATAACACCCACGCCTCCCCATTCCTTTCCAAATGCGTCACCTTTCCTAAGTATACCAGGTGCTCTTTACAATTGTTTGTTCCTCTTCCCAGAACTTTCCCCACCCCTCTCCCCCAAGTGAAGTCATCCTCGCTGAAAACCCAGCTCAAATGTCCCATGTCAGATATCATGGGAAGCTCCCCCAGTTTCTCTCCAATTCTCCCCTGAGGGCACCCATGGCTGTGATGCCTTCTGACACAGCAGGGATCAATTCCATTGCATGAATTATTTGGGGGATTAATTACATTTTTCAGAAGGAAAAATTACAATGAATTTAGTTATAAACCGAGTGGTTTTAATTCACTGTTCATGAAATAGGAAGCCGATATTCTATGGCAGAGTGAGAGTTCCCAATGGGTAAGACGGTGGGTAGGGACAAGGAAACAGAACAGTAGGGGGAAACCTTGGAGGAGGGTTGGGCATGTGCCTCAGGGGTAGAGTGTTTGCCTACCATACAAGTGGGCTAATTTCAGGTCCCTTTAATGGAATTGTTAAAGTAGAAGGGACTTTTTTTATGCTGGCTCAGGGAGACTAGCATCTCTGGTTTTCAATGAAAAATCCTTCAGGATCTATCTCCTTCCTTAAATTTTCAGTTTGATCATGTTGCATATAGCATGAGTTAGACTAGTTTTGGCCTGGTCTTGTCTACTGGGGCTGAAGGCAGGAGTTCAGCCCAAAACATTGGCCTTCCATAATTTTTGTTTAACACTCAGCCACTCCTGAAGAGATAGATGCACCACGTCTTATAAGATTATTATTATTATTATTCACAGTGCCTAGCAGTAAGCTTGAGATGCAAAGAATGCTTAACCCAGGAGTCCTCCCCTGGGTGGGACTATGCTACAAGGATCCCAGCAGGGCCTCTGAGGCTTTCACTGCCATGTGGCAACAGACCCAATGCACAGGTTTTGATGCTCTGGAAAGAACTGTTGGGTCCCAGGCCAGCCTGACAGAGCACCTGCGGCTAATGAGGCCCAGTTACAGCATCGCACGCCAGTACATTATAGCAGCCATCATGATTATTAGCACCGTGACAACCACAACTTACACAGCTACTTAAAGCTTAAAAAGCTGAATTCATATTGCAACCTTGTAAAGCCAGCAGAGCAGCAGCAATTATTCTTATTTTACAGATGGATAAACTGCGATGAATAATCTCAGTAGCAATGTCACCTGCTGCTACCAAAAACAATAACTTTTCCTCTTCTGCCACTTCCATCCTCTCTCTCATCCTAATTATTTTATGCCTAATATGTGCCAAACAATAGGTTAAGGGATTTACAGATATCACTAGCAGACTCTTGAGTTGTATGTTTCCTGTTTTAAGAGTTTGGTTCAGGAAATCCCTGCAGCAGTACTGCCCAACAGAAATATGAGGCAAACCACATACATAGTTTAAAACTCTCTAGTAGCTACATTTTTAAAAGCATAAAATCAATTTAATATATCCTATTAACTCAATGCATAAAAATATTATTTCAATATCTAACCATTATAAAAAGTATTAATGAGATCTTTTACATTCTTTCCTTGTCACATGAGGCTTGTGGATGCCTATCAGTTGGTGCAATTTTGTTGTCAGATGTGGTGGCTCAAGCCTCTAATCTCAGTACTCTGGGAGGCTGAGGCAGGAGGATGGCAAGTTTGAGCCCAGCCTGAGCATCTTAGCATTCTGTGGCTTCTCCGGCAGTGGCAGATGTTAGACTAAAGGACAGCTTGGCAAGAACTAAAATTCCCGGTGAAGGACTCAGGACTGTGTTGCTTCAGCAGGTCCCACACTGCCGTCAGATGAGGCTTTCCTTTAGTTTGATGGAAATCCTTTCTCCCAGGAATATTTATTGAGCACCCAACTATTTAAGTTGCTATTATGGCTATGTTAGCCTTTCTTACTTGGCTTAAAATTCATGACAACAAACACCAATAACACTATTAGGTTAATATTGGAAGATGCAGAATACAGATAGACTCATCAGACATTGCTGGTGCAAGCAGAATTCTTAGTCAAACTAGCAAAAGAAAGCCAGTGGCGTAGCTGAGAACCTCAGCTGTGATTGATATCAGCAAGAGTTTGATCGTGAAACTCAGTATGTCTTTCTTCAGATCCTAGATTTTCCCCTTTGCTCTTTTTGGGTGAGGATCACAAACTCCTTTGCTGTAAATGGACACATTTGCTGAGCAAGGAAAGTTAGCTGTCCATTGCTCCAAACTGGATCTCACCAGCACTGTGGCCCACAGGCAGGGTGGCATCTTTCTGGCCAGTTTCAGCAGAAAAGTTCCTAGGATGTTAATTGGCCTGAGCAACTCAGATGCCCACGTACCCTTTGGGGTTGGTGATTGGAGGAGGACATGATATGACAACTGACCACATCCAACACATGAGGACTAGGGATAAATTTTTGATGCGAAGAAACACACTGAGATAATACTATATTGTCCATTGTGCACTGGGGCAGTAAGTGGAAAGTGCCAGTGGGGCAGGGGTGTGGCCAAAATTATTCCTTAATTTAGCATTTTTAGTCATTGTGCAATAATAAAAAACAATGATAAAGTGGTACTTAGCTTTCTGTAAATTACTCTTTTACATATAGATCACATCAATGACACATGTTGTGATTCTATCCACAGCCTTTTCCTCAATTCCCAAAAGCCCTCATCACATGTCACATTGTAGCCAGAATCTGTCACCTTCAACCCTCAGCCACTATCTTCTGTTGTCCTCAGATCTGCTTTCTACCCTACCTTGAGCCTAAGGAGGCCAACAGGATGGACCACAGCTATGGATGCTCTGCTCTCTGTTTGGACTTCTGGGTGGGTTTGGCCAATGGGACAAGAAACTGAAGGAGAAAGAATGGTGATTGGGCTATTTATTCTCCATGTCTTTGGTGCAGGACCACTTTGGTTCAGGCAGACTAAGGAGATCTCTGCTTCCGGCTTTGCTGGTTTCTCAGCCTTAGGGATGGTAACTTCCACACTGTCACAGCCCAGGGTGTTGCACCACTCCTTATGCTTTTCCTACGTCCTGCTCATCTTGCTGTCCAGTTTCTTTTTTATCAAACCTTCTTTGAAAGACACTGTAATTTGAGTTCAACATCAGTTATCTGTCAAGCCCCCAAGCCACGGGCCTACAAAGTGAATGGAAATCAGTTAGCTGTGACTGTCACTGTGAGCGTATTATGATCCCTTGTGATTGCTGCTTCCAAGGGTTTCCAAGGGTTCACAAACTATTTCTGTGACTTATTCCTTCCATACACTCATAGCGAGTAAAAGTCAGATGTGGCAGCCTGCAGTTTTTGGAACAGGCTTTTATAAATAACACTATTTACTGCCTCAGCATTTACCGGGGCTCTGTTCTTCTAGATATTCTATTCTCTAAAATGCCTTAGAGGTTGGGTCATTCCATCCTGTTACTGTTTGGGGCAGAACAGCCCATTATGCTGTGTTGGAGCCACAGTCTCCAACACTCAGTGGCTTCAACTAGAAACTACTTACGTATTTATTTTTGCTACCTGTCTATCATGGATTGGCAGAGGCAAACACTCAGAGACCCAAAATGATGAGCGGCCACAACTCAAAAGGTGCTGGGGCGACTTCATGGACAATTAAATGCTTGGCCTGAAAGAGATGCCAAGCTTTTGATGTTTTGAGACAGGGTCTTCCTATGTAGCCTGGGCACCATGGTGTCTAACTCCCTCAGCTTTCTGACTGCTGAGATGACACCAAAATCTTCACGTGGGTCTGTTCTCCCACAGGGAGCTTGGCAGGTAATCTATGGAATGCCTAGAGTGTGCCTGTTCCTTTTTGGGGGAGTATAGGGAGATTTCAGATCTGTCTGTCATTTTCCAACTGGTCACAGGCTCTCTTGGGGAAGAGTTTTTGGGGTGCTTCTTTCTAATGCATGTCTGGGATGCAGATTATGAGGTTACTACTTGAAGGGTTACATGCCACCTGTTGAGGGGTGAAGAACACAGTTGCTAGGACTGTGTGTGTGTGTGTGCGTGTATTTTATTTATTTTTAAAATACAGAATGCTTCATGAATTTTCATGTCATCCTTGCACAGGGCCGGCCACGCTAATCTTCTCTGTGTTATTCCAATTTCAGTATATGTGCTGCTGAAGTGAGCACATGAGTATTTTTTTAATTGAACATGGCATTACATAGCTATTTTAATAAAAACACAACTTTAGAGACATTGTAGGACTTCAAAAGCAGTTAATAATCAAACCAGAATGGTATCTTACTACATCTGGTCATCTTCAGAGTAGTTGCCTCTACTCATAGACTTGATACTATAAAGCATATCAAATTCGAATAAAATCAGTCAAGGCAAAACAGCGGTCTCACAAACCAACTTCAAATAAGATCAGTTATAGTAAGACAATGTAGATAATACAGGGCTTCATTTAAGTTAATAGGAAATTAAGGATAGTTACCATGATATAGCCTACTATTTTTGGGTTAGCTGTCTGTACCCTCAAATCTAGTATGAATAGACAGACTGGAACAAAATAAAATCAAACTAAACAACGATAAGACTACTGTGGCTTTTAAATCCTGATACACTATTAACAATATCCTCTGCCTTCCTTTTTTAGGCAATTCCTCACCTTTCCCTTTCTCAGGATGCTGTGTATATTTTGAGTCCCACTAGCTCCTTTAGTTTTTAGATTAGGGGGTTAACCTGTTATCTATCTGAGTGGTACTGAACCTTTTTACCCCTGAGCTTGATCTTGAGCTGTATTCCTTTACTTACTAAAGCCACAAGGTTTTCCTTCCTTCTAGCTGTGTAGTTCTACACTGCACTAAAGTGTCATGACTTTCCAACCTATCTGCGGCTGCTGGATGAGTTGTCCCTATTTCTCTCTGGTTCCCTGTTACATAGAGCATCATTTTCTCATCTTTGACCCTCAGTTTATTAACTCTCTTTCAGGTTGAGTATATTTCCTATTCAGAGCATCTCAATGGATCCTGTCTCCTAGTCTACTCTGCCTGTATTTCTTTTTGTTAGTTTATCAAGGCTATATATATTAGAGATTATGGCCCACCTTCTCTGCCTCATCTCTGCTATTCTATTTTTCTGCTATTATTTGTCCACTTTTTTTTCTGTCATTCCACTGTCTGCCCCATTCATTGAAGCCTCTCTGCCACTGTTCCTGGAATCCTGGTATTTTTTTTTCTCTCTCTCTCTAGAATGTCCTTCAGTATTTTTTGTAGGATTGGATTTGTGGCCATGAACTCCCACAGTTCCTCCTTGTCTTGGAAGCATCTTATTTCTCCATTAATTTTGAGAGAGAGTTTTTCAGGGTACATCAATATGGGTTGGAGGTTATTTTCTTTCAGGGCTTGGACTATTTCCCCCCAGGCTCTTCTCAATTTGATAGTTTGTGTTGATAAGTCTGTCATTATTTTGATGATTTTTCCTTTGTAGGTGATCTGCTTCTTTGACCCTTTTAATATTCTGTTTTTGTGGTGGATTTCTGAGATCTTGATTATTATATGTGTGGGTGTAGATCTGTTTTGGTTGTATGTGGTTGGAGTTCTGAATGCCTCATTTATCTAGATATCATTTCTTTTTCCTATGCTTGGAAAGTTTTCCTTAATTATTTCTGTGAATAGCCTTTGTAATTCATTTGTGGTTACTCCTGCTTCTTTGCTCATGTTTTTTATTCTTAAGTTATAGATCTACTTGTCATCTTTGAATTGTTACTTCCTGGTTCATTGTTATTTTTAAGTGGTCTTTTCTTTCATGATCACACATCATAAATCTCTCTTCAAGTTTCAAAAGGCTAACTTTAGTTTCTGTCAAGGCATTTTGCCAGCTTTCAATGGAGTTTTTAGTTTCCTGGTAATCTCTTTTGATCTGTTTTCATGTATTCTAGATTTTGTTTTATATTCTTCACCAAAGGTTTCTCTTCCTTTTCTGGGTTCCTCCATTCTTCCATCTGTGTCTTCTTGAGAGGGGCTTAGCATTTCTTTTACTAATCTTTTTTATATCTTGTCTCACTTGCATTAGAATTTCAGTTTTAAGTTCATCTATGAGGTCATGAAAGTATTTCTTTATGTCCGCTGATGTTGTGGCCAATATTGCATGACTGCTGCACTGGTTCTCTTCTGTATTTACCTCTCCTGGACTTTTTTTCCCAGGGTCAGTGGCCGGAGGTTTTTTCTTGTTTCTATGTCTTGTCATGTTTCTGGTTTCTTTCAGACAGGTGTGTGGTGGAGGTCTCAGGCCCTCTCTGTATTGCTTACATTTTTCCGAAGTATACTGGCTGGGGTTTTGCTGCCTTCTCCAGTTTGCTGTTATCTGAGGTGCATGCAGGGACTGTGGGCTAAGCGCTCTTCTCTGAGCCACAACCGGCAAGTGCCTTCAGCAAATTAGACTGTGCTGTAGCTGATGTCACAGGGTCGGGATAGTTTCGTCCCTGGCTGTTGGGTCCCAACCAGGGGCGAGACTCAGCCCAAGCTGATCCCACCAGTCCTCTCTGAGTCAGGGGCGGCTGACTGACGCCACTGCAGCACCAGACTTTGGCCCACTCCAAAATGTCCTCCAGCCGGCCTCACCTGCCATGCGACCCCATTTCCAGCACTCACCAAGAATTAATGCAGCTCTCCACCTTGGCTCCACTCTACACTGTGCTGCATCCTCCTGCCAAGGGCCTGGGACTCACCAACTCCCGTGATCGGCGGCTGTGGCTTCAGCGCAACCTTGAATCCACCACACACCCAGCACAGCATGGGACAGGTCTCAGTGAGTGTGTCCAGCTCCAGCCCTCCACCCATGTTTTTCCTTCCTCTTCCTATTTTTCTTTTTCCTTCAGTTTCCTCCTGGGGTCGCGAGTATCCCTCTCCACTCGTCCGGCCCTCTCCATGTTGTTGAATTCCAGCGTCTGAGCTGTTTTTCCCAGAGAGGCTCTCTACCCAGTTACCTAGCAAGCCGCCATCTTCTTGTCTCTCATCCTTTAACTTCACAAATGAGTATTTTAATGTCGATGGTAAACACTGTTTCTTCCTAGATAGCAAAGTCTTTAAAGATAAAACCAAAACACAAGAGGAAGAATGCATCTTCCATATATGCTAGTGGTACTATCAAGTTTATTTTGAAATAAACATGCAAGTTCTGTTAGAACCAACACAATACCTGGCACATATTAGACTTCATATTTGTTAGATGAATGATTGTCTTTATCCCTCTTATATACTTTACCTCATCTCATGTTGCCAGGCAGCAGAGAACTTAGGTTTGCTTTAGATACTGTGCCTATGGAGGAGCTGAGCTGTGTGCAACATGATACAAATTAGATGAAATTACAAAGATTCTTACTGAGATACAAAAACAGTGGAACCTGCCTCAGAAGAGCCTTTTATTGGGCAAAGAAGAGACCATATAGGTCACATCGCTATTTACTGGCCATTTTGACCCATCTATATCCCATGACCTCGAATCCCCAGGCCTAGACAACCCAGGTGTAAAATTGAATTAGCATTCAATCTCACGTTTTGAGAACTGTGGGTCCATCTGCTCACAAGGAGCTTCAGCTGTGCTCAGAGTCATCCCCAGTCACGCAGCCATTCGTGCCTTTTCACTCCTCCTGCAAGCCATCCTGCCCTCGCTTGAAGGGCTGTCTGTCGTGTTGGTGGCCTCTGGTGACCCCCTCAGTCCAGTGCCTTGTGAAACCCCTCTCTCTAGCTCTGTGTCCCACTGGATCACTTGGCTCGGACACAGTGCACAGGCCTTCATAGGCCTGTCCTCAGCTCCCCATACAGTCTTCACCTGCCCTGCTCTTGCTGTCCTCCCCACATGAAGCCAACTTGCCATGCCCTCTGGCCTCCCACACTGGGCGAGAGATCTGTTGACATTTTTTTCCTCCTCCTTGGTCCTCACCCCCACCCCCCCACCCCTTACTCCCCAGGGAACTCAGTCCTTCTGCCTCCCACTCACATCCTCTTAGGATTATTTGGGCGGAGCAGTCGATGATTGAATTAGGCAGCAACTGTGTACCTAATCAAGAAGTCCAGGCCACTATCAGTGCTTCATTTAACCTGAAAACTGAGCCATTCTTGTACTAATAGGTCACTAACACTAACACTAACACTGCCCAAGATAAGAGCTAGGACTGACCCCTTTGCCTACCTTTGCCCTTCCTCTTAGCACACACTGCTATTACAAAGCCACTTCTGACCATTTTAAGATAAAACACCAGAAAGTAGCTGCTTCAAGGCAAGACATTTCGGCTCCCCTCTTCTTGCCCAATGTGTTCCTCCCTGTACATTTCTTATCTCTCAACAGCGGTCATTCTTGAGCCTGCAACTTCCCTCACCCCTCAGCAAGTGCTATCTCTGCTACTTGCAAAATGTAGCTCAGACCTAGGCCACCATATTGCCAGTGCCCAAGGCCTTCCCCAGTCCGACTGCTCTCATCTTACTCCTGTTCTAATGCTAGTGACCTGTAACTGACCTCCACACTTCCAGGGTGAGCTCCTCCCGCTTACTGAACAAATCTCCTGCTAATAGATCTCATAGCCCATGCAGGCCTCCCTGTGTTTGTTGATCCCCTCTCAATATTCATGAGCGTGTTTCTCCAGCTCTCCCCTGGGCTCCCTGAGTTCCTTTGCTGGACTGTGAGGTCCTCTTCCCGGCTGGGTCTGGACAGCTACAGAGATGCCCCTACTGTGGAACTGAAAACAGATCCGCAGGCGTTGAAGTATAAGCAAAGAAAATGTTGCTGCCCTAAGCACAAGACTGAGTATTCCAGTGCAAACTTGCAAAGTGGTTGTTTTGTATTCCTTTTCACGAGATTAGTTATGAAGAGGCCAAGTCCTACCCTGGGGAGAAAACAAAGGCAGTGACAGATGGAAACCCTGGCAACCAGTGTGGACACTCCTCTTTCCTAAGGCCAGGCTTGCTTAGTCACTGTCCAGGGTATGTGCAGGGAGGGGAGGGTTGACCCTTGAGCAGCATAGAGAGCACAAAGAGGAATGCTTGTCCCGGGCCAGTGAGGGGCAGGTGGAACTAATTTGTAAATGTCACTGATTTGGGTCAAGGATGAAACAACTCTGCTGTCACATTTGTGAGGCTGTTTGATTAATGCCACTCTCCTCAGCTAGACTGGGGCCTGACTGCGTGAA